AGAATACCAAGAAAGCTAAGTCCTAGCTGTATGCTGAACCAGCTTCAGCTTCCAGGAAGGAGGCGGAGCTAAGAAGCTTCTCCTTGGAACAGCCAGTTCTTGCCCTGATGTCACTGTGACGTGGGATAAAGCTACAGGGTTTAACTCCATGGACTCTGGGACCAGAAACCATCATTGCCTGGACTCTTTGGGGGAATCACATTCTAGTCAGCTGGTTCTAAATCCTAACTCCATCGTCCTCTGTTATCAAGAGCTTTCTTCATGATAGTAAGAAAAAAACTTCAGATACCTATCCCAGATCCAGTTTCTTCAAATCTGACCCTACCCTCATTATTTGGGTCACAGAGTTCTCCTAAAAACAGCAAACTCTGTTACAAACTCCCTCCCGGTCACTCTGACTCACTGAGTATTTCGAAAACAAACTTAGAACGCTGGAAGATACAAGAATCAGCTGTTAAACCTGGGGAGTTGACGTCTCTCTCCTCTTTCCCTGACCCCAGGGACACCAGCTCTGACGTACTAGTACGACACAAGAACAGGGAAACTGAGGCACTAGAGTAAGGATAAAGGGGTCAGCCAAAAGTCAGCCAGAGAAGAGCTAGGAGTGTAGCTCCAGCTCCAAAGTACTTCTGCTGGATAAACCAAATCCACATGATTCAAGTCAAGCATCCCCTGCCACATCCCTCCATCCTCCCAGTCAAAACTGTCCTAATAAACTCAACGGGCTACTCCTCTCAACACCCCCCTCCCCTGGGGTTTTGGGGCAGTGAACTGGCAAAGTCCGAGGCTAAAGCATCCCCAGGTCCTGGCAACAGGTCCCCGTTCACCCCCCACACCTGCAGATAGGTCTTGTATTCAATGAGCTTCTCCGTGCCTCGGTGCAGCAGCCCGATGTGAGGGTCACACTTGCGCACCATCTCCCCACTCAATTCCATCACTAGCCGCAGGACTCCATGGGCTGCTGGGTGCTGGGGCCCAAAGTTCAGGGTCAGGTTCGACACCAACGTGTCCTTTGGAGGGTCCTCATCTGAGAAGTGGGAAATAGTTGAGCCAAATGGTAATTCCTTTGAGAACCCCCAAAAGACAGCAAGGAGTTAATATCTCCCTGGAGACTTTCCATCTCACCATTCCATACCGTGCTGATTTCCTAACCTTTATCATAACCAGGAGGAAGACCATTAGATGGGAAAAAGGGAAGGGAGACTAAACTTTCTGATGAGAGGGACCATGAGCCTCACTCTTTCCATGTCTCTCAGGATACCTTTAAAAAACTAATAATGAGGGGCTTCCCTGGTGGCGCAGTGGCTGAGAGTCCGCCTGCCGATGCAGGGGACGTGGGTTCGTGCCCCGGTGCGGGAAGATCCTACATGCCACGGAGCGGCTGGGCCCGTGAGCCATGGCCGCTGAGCCTGCGCGTCCGGAGCTTGTGCTCCGCAACGGGAGAGGCCACGACAGTGAGAGGCCTGCGTACCAGGAAAAAAAAAAAACAAAAAAACTAATAATGATAGATAACACTTATACAGTCCTTACTATGTGCCAGGCACTACTCTAAGCACTTTACTTATTTTAATTAATTTAATTATTTCAACAACCATATGAGTAGTTGATACTATCATTATCCTCATCTCATTGGAGAAGTTGAGGCCAGAAAGACTAAATGAATTGGCAGAGTCAGTAAGTGGCAGAGTCAGGATTTAACTCAGCCTGGTCAGCTCCAGACTCCACACTCTTAACCACGAAGATACACTGCTCTCCAGATGTATCTGCTGAATGGACAACTAATTGGGAAATGTATACTTAATTCTTACTATTACTAATCGACAGTTTTTACCCTCAAGAGGCTTACAATTTAATTCGGGAGATAAGTACATGTGAGAAACTAGTAACACAGGTCAAATTTACAAGTTGCCAAGTAAGTTGCTTAGCCGTTAAATATTTAAAGAAAGGAAAGAACACTGTGAAGACCTCGTGGAGGCAAGATATGAGCTGGTTCTTAAACACAGGGAATGATTCAAATAGGTAGAGAGAAGAGGCATCCCATGCTATGGAATGAACACATGTCAAATCTCAGAAACAAGAAAGTAAATATCTATGGAACTCTTGTTTGCCAAGAGACAGATTAAGTGTTGGCAGGCAGTAGGGGGTAGTGGTTCAATTATCAGTATTATTTATTTATTTAAAATTTATTTATTTTATTTATTTATTTTGGGCTGCACTGGGTCTTCATTGGTGCACACGGGCTTTCTCTAGTTGTGGCGAGCAGGGGCTACTCTTCGTTGCGGTGCGTGGGCTTCTCATTGCGGTGGCTTCTCTTGTTGCAGAGCACGGACTCTAGGCGCACGGGCTTCAGTAGTTGTGGCTCGCAGGCTCAGTAGTTGTGGCTCACGGGCTTAGTTGCTCCGCGGCATGTGGGATCTTCCCGGATCAGGGCTTGAACCCGTGTCCTCTGCATTGGCAGGCAGATTCTTAACCACTGCACCACCAGGGGAGCCCCAATTATCAGTATTATTACTAACACTTAGGAAGGACTTAGCATGAGCCAATCACTACATTACGTGGTTTACGTTACTTGTATCTCATTTAATGCTTACAATAACGCTATGAAGTAGGTACTTTATTCACTGGTAAATGGAGAGTTGAGATCTGAAACCAGAGTCTACCTATGCAACCAAAATTCTTCACCATGGGCTTTGGAGTCAGACAGACCCACGTACAAATCCACCTGTGTCCTCGACCACTTTTTAATCTCTCCACACCACAATTTCCTCAAAATTGGGATAATATTAGTATCACTCTCATAGGTCTGTTGTAACAACTAAGTGAAATAATGCATACAAAAACACTCAGCACATGGTAAGCACTCAGCTGTTGTTACTGTTAAATTTTTGAAAGGTTAACTGGAAGTTCCTTTGAAGGTTTTCGATCAAAAGAATGAATGACATGCTAAAATGATGTTTGGGGAAGATAAAGGCATAGACACTGTATAGGATAGCTGGAGGGAAACTGTATCAGTGGCAATAACCCGTCAAAGAGACTTCCGAAATAATCAAGGTCTAATACAAAATAAATCGAAACAACAAAGGGAGAAATGACCAGATGTGAAACATTATTAAAGAATCTGCATGTTATTGAACATAGACATGGAGGGCAAGAGAGAAAAAAGAGCCAAAAATGACTAAAAATCTTCAATCCTGAGGGATTAGGAGAATGAGGGAGTCACTGATCAAAATTAAAAATCACGGGCTTCCCTGGTGGCGCAGTGGTTGAGAGTCTGCCTGCCAATGCAGGGGACACGGGTTCGAGCCCTGGTCTGGGAAGGTCCCACATGCCGCGGAGCGACTAGGCCCGTGAGCCGCAACTACTGAGCCTGCGCGTCTGGAGCTTGTGCTCCGCAACAAGAGAGGCCGTGACAGTGAGAGGCCCGCGCACCGCGATGAAGAGTGGCCCCCGCTCGCCGCAACTAGAGAAAACCCACGCACAGAAAAGACCCAGCACAGCCAAAAATAAATAAATAAATGAAATTTAAAAAAATATATATATATACTGAATCTCTGGAAAAAGCTGAAGCTAAAGATATAAATTTGGTAGGGATCTCGAGGGTTGACTGGGACCTTCTCTTTCTTTTCTCTTGGAATATTCTACTTGACAAACACCTCCTATTATCACTACAGTCACGTTTGTTGAGTTGCAAGGTTAAAGCAGCAAAAAGAGTTGGCGGCTAAAATTTGCCTCACACGGAGAGCTCAAGAGCACTTAGAAATCAGCTTGGGGCATGGAGGGGTGTAGGTTGGGACAGTGGCACTGGGCACTCACCATTCCAAGGTGGAGGCTTCCAGTGGGCTGTTTCCTTGGTGGGGTACATGACAGCGCCCCCAAACTGCTCTGCCCATTCCACATCTGGCTGCCATTGCCGAGCACCTCTGGGGAGGTAATGACAGATCCTACACAAAGGGCCTGAACAGTGCTTGGTTCCTCTGTTCCCATTCACTTTCAGGTGGGCCCAGGGAAGGGTGTCTTGGATTCTTCAATGTCAAGTCACTGACACAGAGTTGCGTCGCTTTGGCAGAACAAACCGGAGCTCTAGAGGTTCCATCCTTACTAACAACTTATTCCTGAAATCACTTCACCTATCACCCGTACACATGCAAAGCCGGGGATCCCAGCTCCTTTAAATTCTGGTCATATTCATACTCCCATTCTGGTGAATATGAACTCAAAAAGGTGTTTATTCAAGGTCAACCCAAGAGTAAGAAAAGAAAGCGGGGTGGGGCATGCTGGCTCCTTGGCTCTGCTCAAGTACGGCCAGAACAATGCACTGAGGCCAACCCGGGGATTCTTGGTTTATGTTCCTCCTTTAAGTCTATCGGGGTTGCTCTCCTTTTCTTCCACAGCGTTTAAGGAGACTTTTCACCAGTCGCGCCCCACCCATGAAGGGGTTTGGGAAAAGCAGCAGGACATAAAGGGAGGGTGACATTATCACTAACACTGAGGCGCGGAGTCTCCCTCCAACTGATTTCACCTCTGGCAGATCGAGCTCAAACCCTCTTTCCTCCCTCGGCCAAGGCAGGCACCACTGGATCCTGGAACTCGATAGAGCAGGCTTGGACGAGGGGTCACGGGCCTGGGTCATTCTTTCCTAGGGGGGTCACAGGGCCCGTGGAGACCCCGGACTCGAGAAACCCCAGCCCTGGGGACAGCGCATCGAGGGCTGCGCTTGGTCTCACCTGGTGGGCTGAATCGGCAGTCGGGCCCCAGCCCCGGGCCGCAGCACCAGGGCCGCGACGCCCCGGAGGCCGCACAGAGCCCTGAGCGTCGCCATCTTGCCCCGCCACAGACTGCGGGAAGGAGAACCGGGCGGAAGTGCCTCTTGCGCGCCTCCTGTGGGCTTCTCGCCTATTGGCACCACTCAGCCGCCCTCTTGGAAGCTGGCGGGGTCGCCGAGCGCGAACCTGACAACATCCGGGTTCTGCACCCCGGCTTCACTTTCGCTTAAATACCGGAGGCTGAGGCCCTTGCTTCCCACCGCTCCTGGTGGGCTCTTCTAAGGCTGAGCAGGAGAAACTTGCAGTTCCTGCTGCGGGGAGCGGCGCCCTCGTGCACCATCGCCGAGCTGCCTGCGCGCCTTAGAAAGTGCCCTGCCGCCCGGAGCCAGGCGGACGCTCACATGGGGGCCCTTCCCCACTCCTCGCGTGAGCTCACCGCTGCTGTAGCCCTGCTCTCTGGTTGTGTCTGAGCCCTGCCCTTCTGGGGTAGACCCGGGCTTTGCCAATTACCTCCTTGTCCCCGAATCCAAAAGATTCGGAGCCGGGAGAGCTAGCTAATTTCCAGACGGCCTAAATGGGTTAGGGAAAAGGGGCCCAAGTGGGGCTGGGCGGGCCTGAGAGCTCCTGTCAAAGTAAAATGAAAAAAGAGTAGGATGCGAAGGCCACCAGCATTGGAGCGGGCTGCTGCGGTGTGTAGGAGCCACCTCATGAGGATAGGAGGTCCCCTATGGGTGACCCTTATATCTGCCAGGCTTCCAGAGCTCACAGAATTACAGACCCAGGAAGTGCCCTTAGCGATGCCTCGCACCCCACTTCCACCCTGGGTCAATCTCTTTCACCTCATATCTTTCTGACCCGGCCTCTGTACTGGCCAACGGCATAGAACTGTAGCACCATCAGGAGTCTGATCCTAATCCTGTGTGGAGGAGACAAAGAGGAGTTCCAGCCTTGGAGCTAGTTGCTGTTCTCTCTGCCTCCAAGCCCAGCTCCAGCTGGGCCACCCGTTAACTTTGCACATCCCTCCCACTTGGGGCCTGGAAAGAGGCCTTCCCCAGATCTCCTCCAGACAGGGTGCCTGGGCCACGGCTCACCAGCAGGACAGCAGGGTGGGGCAGACAGACCAGGAGAGTGGCAGAGACAGGGAATTCTTAGCTGCAAAGAAAGAGGGGAAAGCCAGACTTCTAGCCTGGGAGTTGACCTAATGGGAACTGTACCAAAGGGTGAGGCCATATCCCTGACTGGGGGAACTGACTGGGACACCTGGGTGGGCTCGGCAGCCCTCACAGAGCCAGGCAGAGGCTGTGCCTCCCTGCTCCCCTCACTCCCCACCGTCTCCCTGGGCCTCCTCTCCCGGTATAGCTGAAACACACAGTGAATGTGGTGATGGTGAGGGAGGACGATGTAGGGACTGCATTTATTTGCCCTAATCCAGCCTAGGAGAAGACAGGATGGACTCCGGGCTGCTTGGCCCTAGGGGCAACTTGAGCTGGAGCTAGGGTGAGGGATCCTGGGGGGCTGCCTAGGACACTGCATCTTTTGTGCCTTCTCCAGGCTGCCAACGCTCCCCACACACACACTGCTGCTGTTACTCTAAGGCCTTTTGTCTCTCACTGCTTACTCGCCCCCTTTGTCCTCGTCTCAGATGCGGGTGCAGAGGGGCAGTAAGAGTCCTCTGGTGACAGCTCCTCTTGCTCCTGCCCCTTCTGGTCTCCCATCCTTTGTCTGACTCCTGCAGCACCAACCCCCTCCCCTTAGGACCAGGGTCAGGGCATGTGGTGGGTCAAGAGGTGGGTCCTGCAATCTGAAGGGAGTGGGTGATACAGGAAGTGATGGTCACCAGGGCAGGTATCTGCAACCTGAGCAGGAAGGGAGGGGAAAAGGAAGTGTTCTGGCGGACGGGTTGTGGAGGACAGGAGGTGACTAGGCCGAGAGTGAATAGAGGAGTGGGGGCAGGGGCAGGTGGTCTGCCTCTGGGAAAGGAAAGTGCTGACGGTACTCTCCTTCCTGGGGATATCCTGGGGAAAGGAGTGGCCATAGCATGGGGTGAGCAGAAATTGCCCTTACTTCTGAGCCCTTTCCTTCCTTGTCTTGAGAATCCACCCCCAAGACTTCTTTGCTGAGTTCTCTCCAGTCCCAAACCAAGGAAATCATTCTGCTTCCTTTCCCTAACATTACCTCTTCCTCCCCAAGCACTCTCTCCATCCCAGGCACTGGGTTCCTGTTTCTCTCAGTTCCCTAATTTTCCTGTACCCACAGTGCTACAACCACCCTCTCCCTGTCCCATGGGGAATGAGAAATAAAAGATTACTAGATATTACAGGAACCACTGGGTTCTTAGGAAAAGGTGGGGCTGAAAATGGGAACCAGGTGGGGATTCCCTCTGATGGACTGACATAGGGTACTTCTGGGTTCCTGAGAGAGCACTTCTTTCTTGTGCTGGGGGCTGGCTGACTTGAGGCTGGGGGAGGGTTTAGGGCAGTTGGGAGTGGGTAGGAGCAGGGCCAAGAGCCTGGGGGAAGCTACTGGGAGCTGGGCCAGGGAAATGGGGAGTCAGGAAGTGGGGAGGGGGAGTTCTGGGGGGAATGGCTGTCTGGGCTTCTGAGGGGGCGGGGAATGGTAATTCAGGAAAGGGGATCCTGAGGGAGAGAAGGTGCCACCCTAGAGCTCCCTTCTGTAGAAGGAAGAGTCGTTAACCCCTCCTGCCTTGTCCTCTGCCGGCCCCATGTGCCCATTCTAAGCAGACTCATCCTACCTTTGGGCAGTACACTCCCTGATCACTGTCTCCTTGCCTGCCCCTTCTCCCTGCCTCCTGTACTCTCTCCAGCTTCTTGGTCCCATCCTGAGCAGTGTCAAGCCACCTCCTTCCTTTGTTCGGCCGTCTTGATGCTTCCTTACCTGTTCCCCACCCTCTTTCCCTGGCAGCTCACTCAGTTCCCTCGGCCCTGGAAACCAGCCTCTAGGGGCAGAGGGCATCATGAGGGATCCCTGAGAAAAGGGAGGATGTGCCAGGTTAGACAGTGGGAGCTAGAATTCTCCTGGGACCGTGGTCCCTTCTCCGCGTGTGGTCCAGGCCCTTTCCCTGACTTCCTACCCCTCCTGGGGCTCTGTCCCACCAAAAGGGGAAAGAGACAGCTGAGAGCTGACTGTGGGGTTTGGGAAAAGACTATGTCATCAGCTGGCCCAGTGCCTATGATCCATCCGGCTGCTAGAGATTCCCCTCCCCTGGGCAAGTCCCATTTTTTTTTAAAGGAAAACAAAAACTAGATTTTTGGGAAGCAATGAAACACCCATCTGAGTCCTACCACCAGAGCTCCTGGCTGAATGGCTTATAGCTCAGCCAATCGTAGTGGCTCAGGATGCTTAAAAGAGCTGGCGCGGAGAAAGGCTGGGAAGAACTCACAGGGAGACCCACAGACTCATAGACACGGGAGAGAGAGGAGGAGAAAGACAGAAACAAAGGCACGGCGGAAGGAGGCAGAGAGAGGACAGGCACAGAAGCGAAGCCAGACAGAGTCTGAGGGAGTGCAAAAGGAGAGGCCAGAGAAGCTGCAGAAGACACAGGCAGGGAGAAACAAAGATCCAGGAGAGGAGGGTGTGGGAGGAGAGTTTGGAGGAAGCAGACCACTAAGGCACCTCTCCTAAGCCTAAGGGCCAAGTTTTCTCCATCTCCTCTGAAGGTCCCCAGACCCTCTGAAAATTCTGCCTCTGACCCTGGCTGGGGTCCGAGCCCCGAGGCTGCAGAGAGGAGTTTTCCAAAGCCAGGGCAGGGAGGACTTGGTGCCCAGACGGCCTCAGTCCCTCCCAGCTTCAGCACCAGTGCCATGTCCCGGACGGACTCGCATCCCGGGAGGGGCTTGGCGGAGTGCTGCCTCTGGGGAATCCAACCCCGCCTGCTGCTCCCCAGCGTGCCCGTCTCCGAGCTGCTTCTGCTGCTGCTGGCCTCCCTCCTGCCCTCAGCCTGGCCGGCCAGCCCCCTCCCCCGGGAGGAGGAGATCGTGTTTCCAGAGAAGCTCAACGACAGCGTCCTGCCTGGTTTGGGCACCCCTGCCAGGCTGTCCTACCGCTTGCCAGCCTTTGGGGAGACGCTGCTACTAGAGCTGGAGCAGGACCCCGGCGTGCGGGTGGAGGGGCTGACGGTGCAATACCTGGGCCGGGCGCCTGAGCTCCTGGGCGGGGCAGAGCCGGGCACCTACTTCACTGGCACCATCAACGGAGATCCGGAGTCGGTGGCATCTCTGCACTGGGATGGGGGAGCCCTGTTAGGGGTGCTGCAGTATCGAGGGACCGAACTCCACATCCAGCCCCTGGAAGGAGGCACCCCTAACTCTGCTGGTGGGCCTGGGGCTCACATCCTACGCCGGAAGAGTCCAGCCAGCGGCCAGGGCCCCATTTGCAACGTCCAGGCTCCTCCCGGGAGCCCTAGTTCCAGCCCACGAAGAGCCAAGGTAGGCAGCCCTGGAGTCTGTGTCCTGCAGTGTCCTGCCATGTCTGTCCTACTGACCCCTATTCACCTTCTCTCCACCCACTTCCACTTCTGGCCAGCCTGCTGCTTCCCTCCCTTCTGTCTGCCTTTTCTCTTTCCACTGGCCTCCTTTCCTGGGAAGGCTCTGGTTTTTCCCTGCCCCAACCCTTCTCCTAGCCAGACCGCTGATCCCAAGGGGGTTCCCAGGGTTGGGTCAGAGACGCTATGCTGGGAATGACCGCTCTCTCTCTCCACCCCGACCTTGCCTGGCCATGGCATCCTACTGGCACAGTCCCCAACAAGGAGGCCCTCCTGATAGCCCCTTGGCCTTGACTCTTTTCTGGGCCCCAAATTTGATTTTCACCACCAGCTAAAGGAGTGAGGTTTGAGGCCCAAGAGACTGGCCTCTGGCTTCTGATGCTGTCTTCAAAATTGTTCTGGCAAACTGCAAACTAGGGCAGGAGTGGACCGGGGAGGAAAGGCATCCTGAACCCCCTTCTGGTCCGTCCCCTTCCCACATTGTGGACTGACTGCAAGGCTGCCTGAGGCTCCATCCTTTCCTCCCTCCCACTCCCAGTCTCCCCCCTTCTTCCCGTCCTTCCTCCCTCCCCCTCTAGCTTTAATCCAGACCAGACGCTCCCTCCACACCCGCCACGCTGAAATCTGGCCCTGGCCCTAGCTGCTGACTGAATTGTTCCTCCAACCACACAGGGAAGACACGTTGCAGCCCAGCCCTCTAGCCCCAGTCCTGCAGCCCCAGACACACTCAGGCATGGGGGACCCCAAAGTCCCTCCCAGAGGCAGTCCCAGCTGCTTTTCACCTCTTGGGCCCACATAGCCCTGGGACGTGGCATCCCCATCCCCTCCCCTTCTCAGAACCAGCAGATGATTTCTCAGCGTTACCACAAAAGCCCTGGGATTTGGAGTTGGGGGGGAGGCCCCACCGAGACCCATCAGGAATCCCGTGGGATGTATGTGGCCCAGCTGGCTCTGCTGAGTTCCAGACCCAGGAAGTAAGGGAGGGGAGAAGCGATCCATGGGTCTGGGAGGCTATTTCAGGATCCTCCTCCCCTTTTTTCCTCTCCAGCGCTTTGCTTCAGTGAGTAGATTTGTGGAGACCCTGGTGGTGGCAGATGACAAGATGGCGGCGTTTCACGGTGCTGGGCTAAAGCGCTACCTGCTGACGGTCATGGCAGCGGCGGCCAAGGCCTTCAAGCACCCAAGCATCCGCAACCCTGTCAGCTTGGTGGTGACTCGGCTGGTGATTCTGGGGCCAGGTGAGGAAGGGCCCCAAGTAGGGCCCAGTGCCGCCCAGACCCTGCGCAGCTTCTGTGCCTGGCAGCGAGGACTCAACACCCCCGAGGACTCGGACCCTGACCACTTTGACACGGCCATTCTGTTTACCCGTCAGGTGAGGCCCCGATCAGCACCTCAGGCCATGCACTGCACAACTCCAAGAAGCACCACTGCACAGACCGTGATGTCAGTGGTGCCCCTGGAGTTGTTCAACATGGTGCCTGGCCCCAGCCACACTGCCAGTGCTATCTGGGCCCTGACAGTGCTGGATACGCAGTGCCCAGGTCTCCACTAATCTGGATCTCAGCTCAGTGGATGCTGGTGTCTTGGTTCCTCATGTATTGTCTCTGATCTCCCTCTCCACAGGACCTGTGTGGGGTCTCTACTTGTGACACTCTAGGCATGGCTGATGTGGGCACTGTGTGTGACCCAGCTCGGAGCTGTGCTATCGTGGAGGATGACGGGCTCCAGTCAGCCTTCACTGCTGCCCATGAACTGGGTAAGTCAGGGGTGGGGTCATGGGGCACCTGTGATGAGTGAGAGAGCTATCAGGGGTGAGGTGAGGGGACAGTGAGCTCACCAGGGTACAAATGCAAGTCACAAGGTGTTTCTTCCTTTTCCCCAGGCCTAGGTCCAGGGCCATTACCCTTCTCTGCTCCGGATGTAGACAAGCATTTAGATTTTTCTATTAAATGAGATAGTGTGTAGAAATCTACTGTGAACTGTGTTTGGAGGGGAGGTGGCACAGTACTGAGAGAGATTATTCACAAGAGTCAGTGATAGAGTGGATGGAATCAGGGTTGGGAATGTAGGCTATAAGGAAAAGTGGGTAAGGAGGGGCCCTGAGTGTATCATGGGGAGAGGGGAGACAGAGCAAGGGGGGCTACATATTGAGAAGCCCTTGGAGCACCAGAAAGACATTGGGGGCAGGTTGGGATGGGGAACGGATCTGACCATCCATACCTGCAACCAGGTTTCTGATGGGCCTGCAACCCCCTGAGGGCACAGGGATGAGACCCTTGGACCCTAACAGGGCCTCTGCTCCCACAGGCCATGTCTTCAACATGCTCCATGACAACTCAAAGCCATGTGTTGGTCTGAATGGGCCTGGGAGTACCTCCCGCCATGTCATGGCTCCTGTGATGGCTCACGTGGACCCCGAGGAGCCCTGGTCCCCCTGCAGTGCCCGCTTCATCACTGACTTCCTGGACAATGGCTATGGTAAGCAGATGGCCCTCCCCTTTCCCTGTGCAGGACCCAGTTCCTGCCCCCCGCTGTACTTTCTCTTCTGCCGCATTTCACATGGGCCAAACTGACTCCTTCCAACGTGCCTCCTCTGCAGTGTGGGATGGAGTGAGAAATGCTGCTGCCTTTGTGTGGTTCCCACTTCCTCTCAAAATAAATAGCACAGCTACAGGAGGCAAGTTTTGGCTCAATAGGATTAGAACTGACCTTCTAAGGGCCACAGCTGTCCAACACTGCAAGGGGCTAGTTGTGAAAGAGGTGACTGCCTTGTCACTTGAGGTGTGCGTGCCTAGCAGTATGACTGTGGTTGGGCAGCGCTGTTGAGGAGAAGCAGACTCCAGAATTCTGTAGCTGGTTGGAATAGGTGGGAAGATCTAGTGCTTTGAGTTCCTATCCTGATCCTGTTCTTTAGATGTGTGTAGACGTGTGACTGTAAGTTACCATCTGTAAGATACGCATAATAACGGTAACCACCGCATAGGCTTTGGCCACGATTAAACACGATACTGTTGGTCAAGCATCCAGCCGATGTTCATCACATAATAAGCATTGAATACATTTGGCTGCTACTTAAAGCTTCTTCCAGCCCTAGAATTTGGATCTTAGGATCTGTCAGGCCCTGGGGAGCCCAAGGCTGGCACCCCTTCAACCTATTGGTGACGTCCTACCCCTGCCTCTTTTCCCAGGGCACTGTCTCTTAGACAAGCCAGAGGCTCCCCTGCATCTGCCTGTGACTTTCCCCGGCAAGGACTACGATGCTGACCGCCAGTGCCAGCTGACCTTTGGGCCTGACTCACGCCATTGTCCGCAGCTGCCGCCGCCCTGTGCTGCCCTCTGGTGCTCTGGCCATCTCAATGGCCACTCCATGTGCCAGACCAAGCATTCACCCTGGGCTGATGGTACCCCCTGTGGGCCCGCACAGGCCTGTATGGGTGGCCGCTGCCTCCACGTGGACCAGCTCCAGGACTTCAATGTGAGATCCCAAGGGCAGGGGAGGGGCAGAGGGCCTGGGGGAGGAGGGAGTGGCCCGTAGCCCAAGAGAGTGTATTCATCCCACTCTTCCATTCTGTCCTTCTGCAGATCCCACAGGCTGGTGGCTGGGGCCCCTGGGGATCGTGGGGTGACTGCTCTCGGAGCTGTGGAGGTGGTGTCCAGTTCTCTTCCCGGGACTGCACACGGCCCATCCCCCGGAATGGTGGCAAGTACTGTGAGGGCCGCCATACCCGCTTTCGTTCCTGCAATACCCAGGACTGCCCAACTGGCTCAGGTGAGGAGTGGGGGGGATGGGAGCCTTGGGAGGGATGGCTAGGACGGAAAGGACTGTCCCTTGAGTTCAGGGACCAAGGAGGTGTTGACTGTCCCTGCTGTTGGGGGGAGTGGCTTTACCCTTCAGGAAAGTGACAGGTAGTCTGTGGGGGAGAGAGCTGCCGTACTGTCTGGAGGTCTGAGAGGCTCGGTGGAGGGGCTGGTGGGGCAGCGTGAGGAGAGAGGGGCTCTGACTGTCCATTTTAACCCTACAGCACTGACCTTCCGTGAAGAGCAGTGTGCTGCCTACAACCACCGCACTGACCTCTTCAAGAACTTCCCAGGGCCCATGGACTGGGTTCCTCGCTACACAGGTGTGGCGCCCCGGGACCAGTGCAAACTCACCTGCCAGGCCCGGGCACTGGGCTACTACTATGTGCTGGAGCCACGGGTGAGAACCAGGATGCCCCAGGGCCCGGTCTAAGCTCACACACTACCCAACCCGCCCTCTACTTTCTGGTGGCAGAGATCCCAAACAGCACTACTGCTGGCGTTCCCACAGCCATGCCCGGGGCCCACTCAGACTTCTCCGGCCAGGGGTATTTAGAAAAGTAGCCCTGGACTCTGGATAAGTTGCCAGTCAGGCAGCTCTAGCCTGTCCCATTTCCCTTGGTTTCTTTCCCTCTCCCTCCCCCTTCTTCCAGTGCTCCGTTTTGTGAGAATGGAAGTGTGTGGACTTTTGGGCCCTTCTCTGACCCCCTTCCCATGGGCTCCTCTGGCAAATTACAGTGGTGGCCTCATTGAGCTCATGGATGGCCAGTCCCTCACTGGACAGGCCTCCTGGAGACAGCAATGTCCCCGCACCCCCCCTCTGTGATAGGGCCCTGGGTTGAGGCTGAAGAAAGAACAAGCCTAGCAGGTTTGCATCCTTCACCCCTGTTCTGGGGAGAAAGCCTGCGCGTTGACTGCCCTCTAGTGTCCAGCTGGGACGGTACCACCAAGATTTAGGGCTTGGGGTTGGGACTCAGACCTGCAATTCCCGTGTTGGCTTCTCTGCTTGCCAGCTGTGTAACCTTTGGGCAAGCTCCTAATCTTTCTAAACCTCAGCGTGCCATCTCTACAAACCTCAAACAGTGGTTTTGGGATTTATCTAGCTCTTAGCACCGTGCCTAATTCATAGTGAGTGCTCTGAAAATGGTGGCTTTTATGATTATCATCCCTTACAGTGGCTGGGGTTCCCTCCACACTCCATCCACATCCCCTCCCTGACCCAACTTTTCTGGCATCCCCTCCCTGATGGGATATGGGTCTTGTTCGACTTACCAACCCGTTTTGACTAAGGAAGACCCTTTCATCACTCCCTCTCTTCTCCTCAGGTGGTAGATGGGACCCCCTGTTCTCCAGACAGCTCCTCAGTCTGTGTCCAGGGTCGCTGCATCCATGCCGGCTGTGACCGCGTCATTGGCTCCAAAAAGAAATTTGACAAGTGCATGGTGTGCGGTGGGGATGGTTCTAGCTGCAGCAAGCAGTCTGGCTCCTTCAGAAAATTCAGGTTCGTTCACTATTTATTTCCTCCTCCCACCTTCCTGGATGCTGTCCTGGGCCCTGGGGATACAGAGGTGAACTCAACACTGCTTCTCCTTTCAAAGAGCTGACGTACAGTCTAGTAGCGGAGACAGACGAGTTCGCAGTTACAGCGCAGTGTCCCACCTGCTCAAAGGTGTCAGCCTGGGCTGCTGTGAGGGCACTTGTGGGCATCAGGGAAGGCTTCCCAGGAGGTGACCTCCCTTCTGGAGGAAGAATAGGAATTGGACAGGCACCAAGGAGGCGGGGCTTAGATGGGCACCTCAGTAAGGGGGCAGCCGGTGTAAAGGCCCAGAGAGGAGGAAGGAGGGCACATTTGCATGTAGCTCAGATCTAGGCTGGACAGCTCACGTAGGTCTGGGGAGACAACCTTCTATACACATACAATCATAACAAACACAGCTCAGAAAGGCTGAGAGGATTCAGGGAGATGCTGAGTACTCCTCTACTCCTTGCACACAGGTACGGATACAACGATGTGGTCACCATCCCCGCAGGGGCCACCCACATCCTGGTCCGGCAGCAGGGTACCCCTGGTGTCCGGAGCCTCTACCTGGCCCTGAAGCTCCCCGATGGCTCCTATGCCCTCAATGGTGAATACACGCTGATACCCTCCCCCACAGACGTGGTCCTGCCCGGGGCAGTCAGCTTGCGCTACAGCGGGGCCACTGCAGCCTCGGAGACACTGTCCGGCCACGGGCCCCTGGCTCAGCCTTTGACGCTGCAGGTCCTGGTGGCTGGCAACCCCCAGAACGTACGCCTCCGCTACAGCTTCTTCGTGCCCTGGCCAAGCCCTTCAACGCCACGCCCCCCTCCCCAGGACTGGGTGCACCGCAAGGCACAGATTCTGGAGATCCTCCGGCGGCGCTCCTGGGCGGGCAGGAAATAACCTCACCGTCCCGGCTGCCCTTTCTGGGCACCGGGGCCTCGGACTTGGCTGGGAGAATGAGGGGGTTCGGCAGCTGCCTCGGACCGAGACACAGTTGGGGAGGGGCTGTGAGGTGAGCCCGCCCCTCCTCTCTGCCTTACCGAGCAGGCTGGCCCTGCCCGGGTTTCCTGCCCTGGATGGCTGGTGGATGGAAGGGGCTGGGAGATAGTCCCCTATCTAAACTGCCCCCTCTGCCCTGCTGGTCACAGGAGGGAGGGGGAAGGCAGGGTAGACCCCGGTTGTATTTATTTAGTATTTATTCACTTTTATTTAGCACCAGGGAAGGGGATGAGGGCTAGGGTCCTGGGGAAACTGACCCCCTGCCCTCGTAGCCCTCACCCTGTCTAGGAAATCCAGGGTGGTGGTGATAGGTGTAAGTGATCTGTGTGTGTGTGTGTGTGTGTGTGTGTGTGTGTGTGTGTGAGGTTCCTCCTGCCTAGCTTTCCTCTCCCTGAATTTTCTTTTCTGGGAGAGGAAGAGTCAAGGGTAGGATAGGCCTTCAGGGAGTAAGGGATTATCATATTTTTAAATATAAATTGAATTCTGCTATTTATGTGCTCCTTTTGGAGTCAGACAGATGTGGGTTGCACCCTGGCTCCACATCTCTGAACACTAGTTTCCTCATTTGACGATAATAATACCTCCCTTGGAAATCTGTTGTAAGGATTAATGTAAATAAAGAACTAGCATAATGCCTAGCACTTGGTAAGTGCCCAACAAATGTCAGCTGCTGTCAGTTATTATTATCACCACCTTACCGTCCTCGGCTCCACTGTCCATGGAGTCCGCGGTGCATTTGAGGGTGGCAAGGATCTGCGTCAGCGGTGCCTGCCCTTGTCCCCCAGGCCCAATTCCTTTGGTTGGCAGAACCCTAGCCTGGATTTTGAAGGATTGTCAGAGAAAGGACAATTCTGTCCCTGATCTCTGGAGGCTCCCAAACACATGGAGGCGTAATAAACACTCGGCTACAAGCACAATTGACAAGAACACGAATGTGAAAGGTAACTAGAACACTGCCGTCAAAACAAACAAGCGCTTAGTAATGAGAGTGCTAGTTGAGGGCGTTGGGGGAAGCTGTTATAGAAAGAGCACTGGAGCAGGAACCGATGGGTCTGAATCTCAGCTGGGGTTCAGCATCTTCCCAGCTGGTAGTGGTGGGTAAGTCACAGATGCTTAGCCTTAGGTTGCTCATGTGTGTAATGGGGCTAAAACATACCTGTTCCCACAGGGTTGTTCTGAACAAATGTTACAGTATTTTCAAAATAGTGTAGGCTGTACCCGTGTGAGAAAATAGTGAAGGATGCACCCATAAGAAGTTATCCTTATGACTACTGAGTGACTGGTACAGGATCCCCAGAATCAACCAGCGTAAACCCAGCAGACTTCTTTGAAGATGTGATGTTAGAATGGATTTAATAAGAGGAGTAGGGGATAATCCGGAGGGAAAAAAAAAAAAAGCATGGAGAGGGAGCTGAGGCGAGGGGGAGCCAGGTGTTCAGTGGTGGCGGAAATCAGTTCTACTTTTCCGTCTGAGCAGGTGACTCTGCTTAAGGGAACAGGGTTGGGAAAGGGCAGCAGGTGGACCCTGCAAGAATTTAGAGTCTTGACTGGTAGTAGCAGGACTGCTAGGGATTGGAGAGGGGCTGAATGTGGAGGTGAAGGAGGAGCTATAGGTAAAGAAGACCCTGAGGAGGGAGTGGAAGAGGGGGAAATGGGGGAACTAGGGGTGCTTCACTCTGCCGTAGTAGCTCTTAGCTGGGCTGCCCAGCACTGCTCGGGATATAGTGCTGGGACTAGGGGATTAAGGCAAGCCGTGGAGAGTGTAGCAGTTGTGTACACTCTGCTCACTGGGGCTGGGCTTCGCTGCTCAACTTCTGTACGAGGCAACGCCTTACACGGTGCCCTGGACTTTAAGCCATGGAGAGTGTAGCAGTTGTGTACACTCTGCTCACTGGGGCTGGGCTTCGCTGCTCAACTTCTGTACGAGGCAGCGCCTTACACGGTGCCCTGGACTTTGTACCACCAAGTATGGCATTTACTCCCTTGGCAGCACTGGGAACAGGGCAGCCCCCTACTCTGCTCGGCCTCCTTTCTTCCGTATGCATGGCCCCCACTGCTGTGCTTGGGCCCAGGCCCTTCCTCCTGTCCTCCTACCAACCAGGCTAGAGGAGGGAGAAACAGGAGAGTGGGACAAGGCCAGAGCGATCTTCAACTATTTCATCTGATTAGCAGAATTGGACCACCAATAACATGTTTATAGACAGACCTTAATACTATGAGCTGATGGTACAATAAGCAGAGTTCTGTGCTAAGTAGATGTAAAGTACAAACGCCAACAATACACACATAAGATGCTCACTGCAATCTGGGGGAAGGTTCTGTACTATGCCTCCACAAAGAGAAATATTGGATGGTACAAAGAACTGTATGATAAGGGCAAATGGAACCGTACAGAGATTGATGCCTGGGCTTAATGGGCTATGAGGGTTAAGGAGGGTGAGTCTTGGGCTGGACCTTGAGGAACAGGTAACCATGGTAGCCCTTCTTACATTTCTTTAGTGCCTACGGTAATAAATCACTTATACAAATTACTTTAAGAGAAAGCCCTTTACTCACTGAGTAAGCTTCTGACTGCCATGAAGCCGTTTTTCCCAGAAAGTTACTGAGTTTAGAGGACATCTGTGTGATTGGATGGGTGGGGGCGGGGGGGAGGCATACAGTGAAAGAGAAGAGAAGACAGAGCTGCTCCTCAAAGAGAATTGATGGGTATCCTGGCCCTAAATCCCTAGCAAGGCCTCACCCCTTCCTGGAATGTTCTCGCCCATACCACCCTTCCCAGACCCAGGCTGTAGACTGCCTAATATCCCGATGTCAGAGGTCCAACAAGTTCTTGCTATGGATGTGGGGAGAGCATTATTGCCTTCATGGGTCTGAGCTGGGATGTGGGTGTACAAGCAGGAGGAGAAACAGGAATAACAGGAAGGAAGAAGGCATGGAGACAGTTCAAGTATCTGGTCCTTAAGGGAAAAAGAATGGTGATGAGCTGGAGGAAGAAGAGTCAGTGACTGCTGAGAGAACCCCGTCCCTGCAGAAGTTCAAGGAGAGATGGACAACTATTTTATGGGATGGCAAGTGTGCCTGTGTGTTCAAGGTGGGGGAAGAGGTCGAAACAGTAACTGTGAGTTGGGCCAATTTCTCTAAGTCCTTTCTGTCCCTGAGATTCTCGACTTCAGTGATTAGAGCGGAGGAAATCTGGGCATTTGTCCAACCCCTATCTGTGTGGTGGGGGTGAGAGAGCCAGCATTCCTGAGGGGTGCCGTGGGACCAGCTACTCGGTTACATTTCTACTCCATCTCTGGCTCCACTTGTTTAATCTCCATACGGTATTACAGTGTTTGGTTTTCTGAAATACCAGATTGATAGTAATTGACAAAACCAGCATCCCATTGGTCAGGACTTGTGGGGGAGGAAGGGGGAAGAAAGTAGAACTTAACGTAGTAACATTTTATTGGCTCAGACGATGCCTCTGAACAAGTTGAACACCTTCCCCGTTGACTGTCGCTGGGGGCAAGCTAAAATCATTGGCAGCAAGAGTAACCAGCTGACAGCTGCAGGAAACCACCACTTCTAAAAATGCTCAGAAAGAGGCAGATGAGGGGAGGGGGGGAACAACAATTCCAAACAACTTCCTCAGATAGGACCTTATATGGGGACAGGCCCAGAGTACTTAAGTAGCTTTAGGAAGGAAAGGGAGGGGAGGAAGTATAGATTGAAGGCATCCCTCACAGTCTTTGAGCAATCAATAACAGGCCCTACAAACCCAGTAATAGACAAATACACAGTGACACACATTGACATACACACGTCCAACTCCATAGAGATACGTTAGCACATTCTCTTGATAATGTAGATGCAAATAAGCATTGAGAAGCTGAAAATGTGAGAACTGGGGCCTGAAAACGGGTCAGAGGAAATATATTAACTGACCTAATTCCCCAGTGAGAATGAATTGTTCATCCCACTTATTGGTTCAATAAATAAGCCATTTTGTTATAAACTAGAATCAAATCATTCTCTCACAGTGTCTGGAAAGGACACAGATTTTTGGAGTCAGACTGAATCTAAGCTTCGCAAGAGCCAGGATGTCATGGCATGATCTTAAATTACTTGATCTCTGTGAGCCTCAGTTTCTTTATCTGTAAAATGGGTATATTACCACCTGCGTTATGGAGAGGTTGTCAGAACTTAAGAACATAATGATGTAAATGCTTGGCCCTGTGTGTGGCTTCTAGTAAGTGTCAATACATGCTGATTCTCTTCCCCTCAAATCTCTTCCGTTCCCTGTTCCCTTCCCACTCCTGCATTGGCCTGAGAAAATAAGTATACCAAGGAACTTTCTAGGTCAGATCTAAAATGGGCTATTTTGTAGAATTTGTGCCAAAAGTTGTAGGTTACTTTCAGGGGATAATAAAGAGGAAGACATGGTCTCTGTCCTCAGAGAGTTCATAGTCTGGTGGCTAAGACAGTCAGGTAAGACAAAGATTCCAGACCTGTGTGATAGGTGCCATGATAGAAGAGGCGCAATAGAATATGGGGTCAAGGAAGTGTTCCTGGAGGAGGTGTCTGTCTCCCCTTCTAGAAGTAAGCTATAAGGGCTTTTGGAGAGTAGGGTAGTGGTGGAAGGTGTGCTTGCTAGTTCAGCTCCCAGGCTCTGCTCTGCTCTGCAAAATCAAAGTAAAGTGAACAGACTTGAAGCTGGTGGATAATACTGTAAAGCAACTGAGTCGAGTTGGAAGGGGTAGTTTTGGGGAGAAGTTACCATCTCGGTAGAAAATGTTAAGTGGGGGAGAGAGGATTTTAAAGACATTGAGCTGTGTATTAAAATGTGCTCCTGCTTCACTCTCCCCTCCCCCATCCTCTGATGTTTCCTTGAGAAACTAAGTAAAGATTTAAATTATGTTAAATTAGTTTTTTTTATTACTAGACTGCGTTTCTTCTGTTATGTTGTGTGTCATGACTGGGCCTCTAGAGGCCCCAGGATTTATTCAGAATACAGAAAGATCGGATGTTGTGGTGGAAACCAGCATACCAGAATTTAAGGTTTCAGAAACTAGCAATTCTAGGGGATGACTAAGCCCAGGATGCGGCCAGGGTGAAAAAGAGTAGAGATGAAGGTTCTTGAAAACGGGGAGCTTGCAAATGAATGTAGAGGAGTTATCAGAAGATGGTAGATAGGAGGGATAAGAAGGTGAAGTCAGTTTTACAAGAGTAGAACACCGTGGAGGAGCAGAGGCTGAGGAAGGGTCCTCTAGAAGAACTACATTTCAAGTTTCTGTATGTCTGTCTTTTCCACTACACAGTGAGATCTTTAAAAAAAATAAAAAACAAAAAATGAGGGCTTTTACTTGGCTCTTACTTTGTGCTCAAAATCAGATGTATTGAATATCTGCTGTCTGCTGGCCCTTTTCCATAATTCTCACTAATTATCACAAAACCACTTAAGATGGGTTCACTGTGTGGATGAAACCCAGAGAGTGTATTGCTCAACATCACACAGCCAGTGGGTTTCAAAGCTGCCATTGTATTCAAATCCAGTATTATCTAATTCTGAGCCTCCATAGGCACTCAAACTCATGAGGTCCAAAGTTGAACTTGTCATCTCTACTGTTTCCCCCAAATGTGCCTCTTCTAAGTTTTTCTTTTGCAGTACGCAGGCCTCTC